GAGAGAGCTGGGAGTGATTCCTGATTGATCAGTCTGAGAGAGCTGGGAGTGATTCCTGACTGCTCAGTGTGAGAGAGAGAGCTGTGAGTGATTCCTGACTGCTCAGTGTGAGAGTGAGAGAGCTGGGAGTGATTCCTGATTGATCAGTCTGAGAGAGAGAGAGCTGGGAGTGATTCCTGATTGATCAGTGTGAGAGTGAGAGAGCTGGGAGTGATTCCTGACTGATCAGTCTGAGGGAGACAGAGCTGGGAGTGATTCCTGACTGATCAGTCTGAGGGAGACAGAGCTGGGAGTGATTCCTGACTGCTCAGTCTGAGGGAGACAGAGCTGGGAGTGATTCCTGACTGATCAGTCTGAGGGAGACAGAGCTGGGAGTGATTCCTGATTGATCAGTCTGAGAGAGTGAGAGCTGGGAGTGATTCCTGACTGATCAGTGTGAGAGAGCTGGGAGTGATTCCTGATTAATCAGTCTGAGAGAGAGAGCTGGGAGTGAATCCTGATGGATCAGTCCAAGAAAGCTCAAAATGACTGGATTTCTTAAGCTATTCTATTTCTAAATTGGGCCAATAGGCTCATTGAAGGGCTGTGATGTTTTATCTTCAAACCTTCGACTACTGAGGAGTTCCAGAGATCTGGAATCCCCGAAGATGTATATATATCATAATAATTGTCTACGGTCTGACAGCTGGCCTGCTCAGTGCTGATTGCAGTCAGGTTGTAGCCTGCACCAGGGAAGAGTTGTCCCGATGAGCTCAGCTTCGCCCAGCCTGTTGTGAACGCAAGGTTTCACATCTGTGAGCGGGTGGGCCAGGGCCTCATGAGCTGGCTGCTGCAGACAGGCTCTGAATGCGAGTGTCCCGAGCGATATCCTCCCGGTGTGAATCTTGTTCGTGAATGTGACAGTGGAGTACCGAGCTGGGGCAAGCCGGGGGCCGCCTGTACTGGTATGCTGCTGTGACAGTGGGGTCTGGTCCTGTCCCATAAGCCAGAGCAGGCCTGTGACAAGCTTTCTGGAATCGCCTGGTCATTCAGTAACACCGAAAGACCGTGGAGTGGCCTGGACTGATTCACCGTGGGCTCTTGTTCAGCGACACCGAAAGACCGTGGAGTGGCCTGGACTGATTCACCG